GCTAGTCGGTCTTTCGAATAATCGCGATCTCGTTCGGGCGCGTCGCGATTTTCTATTTGCTCGCGTGTTTGATATTTCATTCCCTATTTTTATGGGAACTTGAAAATATCTTAGCGTTGCGACAGTAGAGTTTCAGTATACCGAACCGAAATCCCTTTTGTAAGGCACGAAATTTAATAAAGTGTCAGTAGAGTCGTTTTAACTTAATTCGCTCCAAGTTAGATTAGGATACCTTTGATACAGGTAGCGCCAGCAGGCTGCGCCACTAGGGCGCATGTCGGGTCTCGATGCGTAGCCACCTCCACGTGGTGAGACCTGGTAATTGGAATTAATTTCCAAAGAAAAATCTTCTAAAGAATAGATTTTTCTTTGGAAAATAATTCCGAGCTAAGAGCTACGCACAAAATTAAAGATATTTCTTATCTCTTGTAAATTTTCAATGTTCCCTCTGAACTCTGAAAATAGAGAGTGGGCAATATCTGTTTCAATAATACTTAAATGAAGAGGAATTAAGGCAAGTAAGGAAAGGAACGCAAGTAAGTAAGGTAAGTATAAGGTAAGTATAAGGTAAGTATAAGGTAAGTAAAATAATTAAAATATGCTGCAAAGCAGGAAAAGTATTGTCCAGAGAATGCTTCGAAATGACGTCAATTCTTGGAATTGGCTCGATAAACGACCTCCTATCATGTCATATTATCCTCATACAAAGTCGCGAAATCGGCCAGAAATTTTTCCCCAAGGCGGCAAAAGCATTGTCCGAGAATTCTTGGAAATGACGTCATTTCTTGGAACTGGCTCGACAAACGACCTCCTGTCATGTCATATTATCCTGATACAAAATCGCGAAATCGGCCAGAAATTTTTCCCCAAGGCGGCAAAAACATTTTCCGAGAATTCTTGAAAATGACGTCATTTCTTGGAACTGGCTCGACAAACGACCTCCTGTCATGTCATATTATCCTGATACAAAATCGCGAAATCGGCCAGAAATTTTTCCCCAAGGCGGCAAAAACATTGTCCGAGAATTCTTGGAAATGACGTCATTTCTTGGAACTGGCTCGACAAACGACCTCCTGTCATGTCATATTATCCTGATACAAAGTCGCGAAATCGGCCAGAAATTTTTCCCCAAGGCGGCAAAAACATTGTCCGAGAATTCTTGGAAATGACGTCATTTCTTGGAACTGGCTCGACAAACGACCTCCTGTCATGTCATATTATCCTGATACAAAG